TCTTCCTCATCCAGACTCTTAATGTTATTTTCGTGGGGCATCTTGATTCCTTCAGTTCTCACTATTTTTCCTTGTTTGATAGTAAGTGTGGCACACTTGTCCAAGCCAAACTCCATTGCAATATCTTGGCTATATATATGGACAGTGTTGAGCAGCGATTCTATTTCAGATGATGTTTTTCCATACAGCTTCAGATCATTATTATTATTATTATTATTATTATTATTATTATTATTATTATTATTATTATTATTATTATTATTATTATTATTATTATTATTATTATTATTATTATTATTATTATTATTAAAAATGCAATCAATACTGTTTCTCGCCATACCTTGGCCTCAATCCTGACTGAAAAAGATCCAGGTAATCTGCTTCATCCAAGGCTTTTGGTAACATCTATTGAGATCCCATTTTTTACATGCGTTCTTCTGTGATAAAAGTTTTAATATTCTGAAGTACTAATGTCATGGTTCTGACAGATGAAACTCTTCAAAAGAACTTTGAGGCATTGTTTTCCTTAAAGAATCTTTTATTCGAGAAACTAAGTATTGGCACTACATACTTAAAGCCAAAAACTAAATTCCCCTCCCCTGGGCACAAAGTAACAAAGCACAATTCCCTCCTCCAATTAACAGTCATAAATCACATTCCCCAATTAGCTTGAAGCACGGGCTTGCTCTCAGCTGTCCAGCCCACCAAATTTTTATCAACTCTGGGCGCAATATCCTTGGATTCCCACAGCTGAATTATTATTGTTATGACTAGCTGGTCTCTCATCCACAATCCCCCTCCCAGTATCAACTAACTCTAAAGCAAAAGAGGAAAATGGCTGCATTTCAATCTGTTGTCAGAGCAAGAACATCCGATATTAGCAGCGTTGACAACTAAATTCACATACCTATGTGATATTTTTTTTTCCTTTTTATGACCCTGTAATCCCTTCATTCGGGATGGAATCAAGACGACTGAATGGATATTCTGAATACTACAGAATATTTTCATAGGGTAGGAATGGTTCAATTTTAGAGATAAAAAGGAATCTGATTTTCTATTTTTTTAATAGGGGATATTCATGTTATGCAAATGTTATCAATAATAAATCCATACAATACTTCCATAGTTTCCATATAAAATACCTGACTATTGGATTTGGTGAATTGTGATTCAATCAGATATTAAAAGAGACTACTGAAAACTACTAAGAAAAGGAAGAGATGGAGAGCATGCACCCCCGTAAAAAGGAAGCGGAAAAACTAAAAGAAAATTCTTAATAGATCCACATATATGACTTAATTTCATATCTTGTCCTGACTCAAAAAGAAAATTGTCAAGTTAGATGGGGTAAAATCCTTGGAATAATTATTCACGATGATAGATGCATTAATTTTATTAAAATGTTTGTTTTCTTATAAAAACTAATAACATAATAAATAAAAAGAACAAACTTAAAGCAAAAATTGTATTCTTATCCACTTTTTTTGTTATAAAAGAAATCTATTTATTGGCCTACTGAAACTAGAATTCACACATTTGAATTTTCCCTTTTAAAAAAGAAAATTGCTAATATTACCTCAAAACATATTAGTATTACCCACTAAGTTCTGTGAGCCTTCTTTGAAAATTGTGGATAAAAACCATAATTTGACAGAATTTTTCATAAATTCAGGTTTCAGAGCTACAAGTAAATCACAATGCTAAACAATCTCTTCACACCTATAAGAATATATTTAAAAGATTGAATTTTGACATTTCTCCTCTCAACTTAAAAACATAATCAAAAAGGTTTTTAAACATGTCTTCTTATCAGTTGATCCCTGTTGTTTAAATCAGGTCTAAATACAATAATGTAACATTTGGGGAAAAAGATGCATCCTAGAAGCCCAGCACTAGAAGACAAAATGGAGAATATTTCCACAGCCACCATGGCTTTTCCTCTGGTGCTCAGGTACGTTGGAACAAAGGAGACCCACACACTGCAGAAAGCCAACATGCTGAAGGTGATGAACTTGGCTTCATTAAAGCTGTCAGGAAGTTTACGAGCCTGGAAGGCCACAATGAAGCTGGCAAGTGAAAGGAGAGCCATGTAGCTCAGAACACAATAAAACATAAAGACTGAGCCTTCATTGCATTGTAGAACCATTTCTTCAATTCTTGAGTATATGTCTAACTCTGGAAATGGGGGAGAGGTGGATATCCAAACAATACAGATACTTGCTTGGAGCAGAGAGCAGAGAAGGACAATAGAAACAGCCAGTCTTTTCCCCACCCATGTCCTTATCCGAGATCCTGGCTTGGTGGCCTTGAAGGCAAGAGAAACAAGGATCGTTTTGGCCAACACACAAGAGATGGACAATGAGAAGGTGAGACCAAATGCAGACTGTCTGAGGAGACAGTTTACTCTCCCAGGTTGTCCAATAAAGAGCAAAGAGCAGAAGAAGCAAAGCAGAAGGGAGATGAGGAGAGTGTAGGTGAGATCCCGGTTGTTGGCTTTCACAATAGGACTGTCTTTGTGCTTAATAAATATTCCCAACACCCATATTGTAGTGAGGAAAAATAAAGTAGCAATAGTGGCTAAACTGAGTCCTAAAGGTTCTTCATAAGATAAGAAGCTAATTGTTTTCATGTTGCATCCATCTTTCTTATGGTTTGCATATTGATCATCAGGACATTGAAAGCAAGCAACAGTATCTAAAAGGAAAAAAA